GTAATTCTTAATACATGCCCCTACAATTTCATACATTTTACTCCACTACTCAAGTTCCACTCCAGCCCTCTGGGACTCCTGCTGTTTTGGATGAAATATTCTGACTGAAAAGCTGCGTACCGTTATCACGTTAGAGCCAACGGAGAATACTTGCTTTCTGGCTACGAAGACCACCCCCTCCTCTTAATATGGAATCAAATGAGTCTGAAGCAATCGCTTTTCCCCAAATGCCTGGGGGAAATGTAGAAATCTGAGCTAACTTCTTAGTCTTAAATAGGATGGACTATAATTGCACATCTATTTAGCATCCTTTGTAGTTGTTAAAGGAGAACTCATGCTTCTTCACATTTGAGATACATCAGCTGATCATAGCCTTGTTTTCCCTATGGGTACAGCATGGTTTGTATGCAACAAACCACCCATGTAACTAACAGAAAGTCTTAAATTGAAGAGGTCTTCAGCTTCACTCATCTCAGTTTGTCCTGAATAATGCAAATCATGAGAGGAAAAGCTTGCAAAGAAGCAAAACTCAGCAGCAAACCTTACTCCTGGTGCTGTCTATAACAGTTTATCCAGTTTTGCTAGCATCTGTTAGCAACCTTTCTGTAAGGGGCATACTAGTGTCCTGACATTCAATTAAAGTATCAACATGTTGTTAACAGTTGGGTGGAAGTCTAGAAATCCATGAAGGTCTCTCATTGTTACTGCAGAGTTGCCTGGAAGCCAAACTATGGTTAAGTTGGTTAAAACCCCTGAACACTACCATTTCATCTGCTGGAAAGACTAAATCCAACTCTGTCCCTTCAACAGTTTTTCAAGGTAATTTTACTTAAACATTAAAATAGGTTCTGCAAGTCAACACCTGTACAACTTAACTACTATTTCATACGTACAGCATCCTTAGTGTTTTCAGTTTGAGCTGGAACACTGCTAGTATATTAATAAAGCAGTATTAAACAGAAACTCTAAGAGCTGTCCCCACTGCCTCTTTAAGAAAACCCCACCAAAATACTAAATTACTCATCAACTCTTCTTAGGGGAGTAACTGTGTGCATGCAGAGACACACACTTGCACATCCCACACTTCGGGATTTGTGTTGTTTGTTTGGGGGTGGTGTTTTGTCCTTTTTTTTAATTAAATCAGGTATTCTTATAGCATTAAGGGGACAATGCAACTCTTATCCAGCAGCTAACTGAAATTCCTACTAGGTTAGATACTCCTTAAATGTATGTATTAACCTGCAACAAGCCTGTGCTGAAGTTCTCCTCTAACTGAGGGACACTAGATAGTTCTGCTTTCAGACTAAACACACTCAGTATAGTTCTAGAATGACCATCTCTTAAGTCAAGACTATCACAGCAAATTCAGCTTACTATCGAGTATTTTTTATTAGTGCAGAGAACATTCTAGCACCCAGAGTTAGCCTCAAGACTTTGTATTTAGCATCATCTCAGTTAAAAGGCTTGCGAGAAGAGCATAAGGGCATTATGTTGTTTATTGACAGGAACAGACTTTTTACTGGGGACTCTCTACAAAAGGCCACGCACACGGCACCGACAGCGGGCACCGACAGCGGGCTTACCTCTTTTTCTGGTTTTAAAACGCTGGCCTGATAGCGTCGGCTTCTGCGGCTTTTGATTATTCATAAAAGACACCCTGCAAGGAAGCATAAGCAC